GGGGGGGGGGGGGGGGGGGTCGATCATGTCGGAAATATTTATCGTACGTTACGTCACAGCACACGACCATTCGACCATCAGTATCCTGATCAGTATAGTATCCACCTTATGGTAAGTATTTTTTATGGTAAGTTTAGTCGTTTGTTAAGAATAAATTATGTCTTTAGTTGCTCGTGGAAGTATTTATTCATCAGGGATTCAGGGCCACGAACTCTTTAGTGAACAATCGCGAGGGAAACAATGCTCGTTTATGTGTTTATCGGCGCTCTTAACTGCTCAAGCCATGCCCGTTTTTCAGTGGACCACAGGTAAATTAGATAATACTTCATAGTTTGCCTCATTGGGCTATATTTCTGCCTTCATTGGGCTGTATTTCTGCCTTCATTGGGCTGTATTTGTGCCTCATCGGGCTGTATTTGTGCCTCACTGGGCTGTATTTGTGCCTCATTGGGCTGTATTTGTGCCTCATTGGACTGTATTTGTGCCTCAGTGGGCTGAATTTGTGCCTCATTGGGCTGAATTTGAGCCTTATTGGGCTGTATTTGCGCCTCAATGGGCTGAATTTGTGCCTCATTGGGCTGAATTTGTGCCTCATTGGGCTGAATCTGTGCCTTATTGGGATGAGTGTATTTGTGCCTCATTGGGCTGAATTTGTGCCTTATTGGGCTGTATTTGTGCCTCATTGGGCTGAATTTGTGCCTCATTGGGCTGAATTTGTGCCTCATTGGGCTGTATTTGTTCCTCATTGGACTGTATTTGTGCCTCATTGGGCTGTATGTGTGCCTGAAAATCATTCGACCATTGGACAACAGTCGGTAATTTATCGATTGACAAATATATCTCTCACGTGCAAGCAGACCATTTTCAAAAGCATCTCGATACATAGTGTCTCCTTGCAATAAAACACTGTCTATTGTAATCGAGTTAGAACCCAATGAGAAACAAAATGATGAAACAATTTGGTATATAAACTATGGAAAGGACCGTCAAGGTTCAATTATTACAAATGAGCATGAAGTCGGAACTCCCTATGTTAACTTTGGTTCAGCTTTGATGAATACTTTTACACAACGTAAGGATGCTATTTTGATATTAGATGGGTATATGATGGCCTTAATGTACGATATAAATTCCTTTTTCTATTTATTTGATCCTCATGCCAGAAATTCTTTTGGTATATGTCTAACCCTAATGGTACTGCTGTCAGAGTTCAATATAATTCTGAAAACTGTGTCTGACATTGTGTCAGACCACCCCATGTTTTGGACTTAATTATTCTCAAGAAGGACGTTGTCAGTTGTCACAGTACTATAGAAACCAAAACCGTAACAACTACCAAAAGTCCAAAAACCATATGCATAATGGTTAACAAAATTACACAATATCAACGACAACTTACTCAGTAACAGTATATATATTAATAGACGCGGTTGCTTTAATAATTGATGAGATGACATTGTGATTATGTGGATCGGGACGAAGTCAGATTCTATGATTGTTTAGTTTTAGCAGATGGAATCTTTGTTTGCATGTGTTAAAGATTACAGATTTTGTTAAAAAGATTTGCAACAATAACAATCTCGAAACCAGAGCCTGCAATCCTCTGTGGAGGCTTGCTGAGGCTCTGGAAAACACCGGCAACTTTTGCACGAAAATCAGTACATTTCTTATTTTAACAACTTTATTGGTTAATATTTATAAATATGTACAAATACATTTGAAAATAACCAATCGGCAAAGGCGGTACCCATGCGAGGCGCCTTCCCGTTAAAATATAACGTTAAAATAACATAGGTCAACATAAGACTAAATAGTGCGGCCATGGCCTATAAATGCAATATATTTATTGACGTTCACGTCGATGTACCCATATAGGGCCTTGTAGAAAAAGGTTAGGTCTTTGATTTCTCTGTCGTAGCATAAAGGCAATAAGTGGAGCAACTGCAATCTTTGGTGGTAAGACATTTCTTTGCCTTTGTAACCGAAGATCCATTTGGTAGCTCGCCTCTGTACTCTTTCAAGCTTGGCTTTGAGCATGTCCTGCGCCGGGACCAAACTTGGGTAGCATAACATAACTGTGACTTGACAAGAGATAAGTATAATGTCCGTCTCACTCGAATATCAGTTAACAGTGGGCAAGTTCTCTTAAGAAGACCAAATAACTTGTTTGCCTTTGCAACAATTACACATATGTGATGATGCCAGGTGAGTTTGGATGATATAGTAACTCCAAGATCTTTCTCTTGCTGAACGCGGGTTAATATGGCAGAACCAAGTTGGTAGTCGTAAACCACAGGATTTTGCTTGCGTGTAATGGTGAGAACTTTACATTTTGTGCTGTTGAATTTCATATTGCTCTGCTGGCTCCAAATGTTAATGTTGCTGAGGGCTTGCTGTAAACCCACGCAGTCAGTCAGAGACGAGATGTTTCGATGTAATTTGGTATCGTCCGCGAACAGTGCTGTATTGGTACTATTTGGAATAATTTCAGGGAGATCGTTAATGAATATAACAAATAATAAGGGACCCAGGATACTTCCTTGAGGCACCCAGGAGGTAACAGGAGGTAACAACCCTTTGAGTTCGACCGTTCAGGTAGTCAGTGAATCAGTCCAGGAGTCGTCCAGCCACGCCATAGCATTTTAGTTTCTCAACAAGTCTTTGATGGTCAACCGAGTCAAATGCTTTGGCAAGATCAAGGTACAAAACATCCGACTGGGTGTTATTGTCAAGATTTTGACCGATCAAGATTTTGACCGAGAGCAGTTGTGTTATACATGAACGCTTTCTCAGAAATCCATGTTGCAGTGGAGAAATTAGTTGAATAACGTTAGCGTACATGTGACTGTAGACGCAGCGTTCCATGACTTTACTCACAGTTGATAGCAGGGAAATAGGTCAATAATTTTCGGTTGGTTCTTTGGAGTTTTTCTTGTGGACAGGCGTGACGTTGGCAGATTTCCACTCGGAAGGAAAGCGACCTCAAATGAGAGAGTGGTTGAAGATGGTACAAAGACTTGGTGCAATTTGTTGACAACATTCCTTCAAGAGCCTAGAGGGTATCCCTTCTGGGCCGCAGGCTTTTGTTGTGTCCAGGGAATTTAGACAATCCGAGACCTCTTCAACACAAAGGGTAATGTTGGATAGTAGCATGTCCGTCTTTCTTCGGAGGAATTCGAACTGTACGTTTCTCAAATTCTGCTCATCACCAATTAATGAACCAAAGTTTGGGACCTGGTTCAGTACGTTTGTTGCAAAAATTGGACCAACAAACAGGACCAAAAGCAAGCCAACGACGACCTCTTTATAAAATTTGACCGAAGACTTTGCTTCAACAAGACGTATCCGTACCCCAATGGTGAGAAAGAAAACAATGATGCAAATTTTTGCAACTGGCATTCTTTGGCTGAGATAGACTGCAGGTTGAGGAAGAAATATTCCGATGATTATGGACAATATTATTCCAATTGCTAGGTAATTTCGCATACAGAAATTCTTAAACCTTGTTAAGATACTTGGTTTTTCAAAATCTTCATCAGCTTCTTCTGCTTGTACTACCTCTACGGTCACATCAGATTGAGCCATTTTTCACCTCGAGTATACGAGAGCTCAACTTTTCAGTAATGCACAGTTGAAGGGTGTTGAACTCTATTGCACAATTATTTTGGGAACACCGAAATATTAAATGTTTATCTGCCCCAAAGGCAAACACTTTTGAATTTTTGATGAGTTTCGATCACGTACGTTTGAAATTCCATTAATACCTTCGTGTTTTGATTGTTAGATGAAGTCTTCAAAATTTCAAAAGTGTGTTGTCTCACGTCACGACAAACAATGGATATAACTAAGCTGGAAGGTTTGTAGTTACGTTTTGATGAAGAAATGGTATCGAGAAAAAAATTTCTATGTGATATAACATTTTAGAAAATTCTGCTACCATATTTTTTTAGAATTCGAGGTTCTCAAAGTCTTCGACCAATTTCATATTGTTCTCAAAGTCTGTGTAGAAAATGTCCACTGCAATCCACACATCTAATACATATGGATGTATCTGTTTTCCCGCACTCGACCTCCCCCTTGTTGACAGTAAAAACAAATCTTGAATCTGAAACATTTTTTTGGTCATTTTAACCCATGTGTTTTAATAAAGCTTTGATAAACGCATTTTACCGGTAATAACAATTAAAAGCAGTGTGGTATATAACATTAATTAAATTCAACATACATAATTTGCATGATAATATATATTTTTAGGATTACTCACGCACCAACATATTTCTATTATCGCAAACGCTACAACTTAATATTACTATAACTTATTGTTTAATATCCCAAGATAAATATATGGATGATTTTAACTGATGTAATTATATAAAATTGCACTTTTCGTGAGGCTGGGTATAAAGAACGCTACAAGTCAGTGGATCGAAGCCCAACTGCTGCATGGGAACATGAACAAAGATGCAGGTGGCAATGAACAATGTTTTCTAAAATTAACTCGTAATGTCCGCAATTATACACACTGCGTTTTATTAAAAAAAAAGCAGATAACCCAGAAAGTATGTATAGAAGATATGAAAGAAACACGAACAGAGATGAGTCAAAAAGTGAGGTCAAACAGAAATCCATGGATAACATGCAGTACAAAATAATTTAATAAACAGACGCTTTATTGAGCGTTTAGTCGGGAGTATAAAAGTTGCAAATGTAATGATTAATGTGTCTATTTACGCACAAACGTGTTACTAATGCAGGCAAAATGGGCCAAATTTTATAGACGAAGTATAACTTTCTAACCTCTTAAATCTTATTTAATGACTTTTATTTCTGTACTTTCTGACATTAATGGGTTTTATTTATCATACTCCAAGCCCGCTGTGCATGGTATGGTAAACTGTATTGAATTAAAGACGCTAGCCTTCTCAACAGTGTAGTTGTTGTCATGCACGTCAGGCACCGATCACAAGAGCTGTTTACGTTTACCTGCGAAGCAGCTGGTTTTTTAGGGGAAAACTTGCGGGCGAGACAGTTAGGGCAGGAGATCGGCGCGTGGGCGGAAAGCGTATATGCGTAAGCTGTTTGTGGGGGGAAATTACTGTGCTTTTCAAGATTTAGGACAAAATTTTGTCCGAGCATACTAATCTACTCGGCTCAAATTTAAACCATTTCCTAAGGTCATTCCTTTGAGTTCATCAGTATAAAACAAGATAGTGCTATTTGAGCGAATACAAATGCCAATATTTTAGAGCAATCTCGATCATTTTGGTCCAAAAAGTCCTAGCGGCAACATCTTTTCTCCATGGTGGATTGATTAATCAGCTCAGTCGACCTTCGAAATGCAAGGGTGGGTTGACTACAAACTTTTTGTAGTTCGCTATAACTACAGCTACTTCAAAAATATGTAGTCAGCTACAACTACT